AAGCCTACTAAGCTTTCAGTTGACATATATATTTCTACCCTAAACTTTCAATGTATTCAAATAAAGCGGACTTTAGTTTACCTGCCTGTTAGATATCCAACCGCAGAGGCAGCATAACACGCCTACAAAAAAAGACAGAGGACTGAATGAAACATGCAGGACTCTTTGCTATACATACAAGAACATTTATTAATAAAAGATGATAATTTGAGCTGGTCATAGTGGCTTAAATCACAGCATTTATTCGGGAGAGAGAGCCAGGTGAATCTCTAAATTTGAAGCCAGCCTAATCTACAAAGTGAGTTCTGGGATAGCCAGTGCTACACAGTGAAACCCTGTCTCAAAAGCAAAACAAAACAAAACAAAAATAGATGAGAATTTACATAGTAGAGAAAAGAAATAACTGGAACACTACTCATTTTTTATGAGATCTAATAACCATAAATTTCCAGGAATGGTTTAAGTATCTAGGTATCTAAATATTAGTTTTTCAAGTCAATTTTCATTACCGCTTTTCATCTTACAACTGCTTAAGTATCTTTAAAATCAAAAGGAATGTCCTCTTTTTTCTTATCAATCATTTTTCTCTGTCACTTTACTTATACAAGGTTAGTTGATTTGTTCAGAGCCTGGTCTCGTTACATCAGGGCAGCCTTGAACTTGCTATTAGCCCATGGTGATTAGCTTTCCAAGTCCTGGGATTTTTAAGCTTTTAGTTTGTCTATACTGTTTCCTACTTCACTAATTTCTGCGTATGCATTAATTATTTAACTTTTTCCCTTGAGTTTTATCTGATTTCCCTTTCCTAGAGTCTTGAAAAATAAGGGGACAGAATTCGTCTAAAATCTTTACTAACAGATTCATTTCATCTAAAATATTCTAGCTATATATTATGAATTACATTTGACACTAATCTTTTCATTATCATTGCTTAAAAACATTTTTTTATTTTCTACTATGATTTCTTCACCCCATCTGCAAATTAGGGTCCGTATTTAGGTCTGTATTTCCTTTCCTCATAGGTAATCTGTGTTTTCTCTTTTATCCCTGATCAATTTGGCTTGAAGTTTTCAGATAAGTATAGGAGCCAGTGAGTGTGTTGCTTCTTTTTCCTTTCTTTTTAATTTACTATATTTTAAATGAGACTTTTCTGGGATGAAGAGATGGCTCAGTGGTTAAGAGCACTGGCTGCTCTTCCAAAGGTCCTGAGTTCAATTCCCAGCAACCACATTATGACTGTAGCGGGATATGATGTCATCTTCTGGCATAAAGTCATACATGCAGACAGAGCACTCACACATAAAATAAATAAGTAAATCGTAACAAAACAAAATTAAAAAAACATATTTTAAAAATAAATGTGATTTTTTTCAGTTATCCTCTGTTACTGAGTTTGCTTCCACATGGCCAAGTTGCACATTATTTACTGTATGCTTTCAATTCTTGGCAAGCAATCTGTTGAAAATTTCTTTATGGCCAACACGTTTTTTTTGTGTGTTTTGTTTTGAGATGAGATCTCACCCTGTAGCCTAGGTCAACCTTGAATGTAAAGAAGCCTTGTAAGCCTTGTGAGCTATGGGATACAGCTGGGAGTCACCATGCCTGGCCATTTTTCACTCAACTGTCCTCAATCCAGCTTATAAGGAAGATAGAAAACACTAAATTGAATCAAATAATCAAATACAAGATGCCCAGGAAAAATATTGAGTGCATTTAAAAATTATTCTTTGTCTAGGACATTATAGTATTACTTAAATCTTTTTTTTTTTTTTTTTTTGGTTCTTCAAGACAGGATTTCTCTGTGTAGTCCTGGCTGTCCTGGAACTAGCTCTGTAGACCAGGCTAGCCTCAAATTCATAGATTTCCCCCTGCTCTGCTTCCTGAGTGTTGGGATTAAAGGTTTGCACCACCACCTTGGACTGGTACTCATCGTTCTTAAGACAGGAAAGTCTGGAGTCAAAGTGTTCTGATTCTGATCCCAGTTCCCCACCATTCTACTGTGAGTCTGACAAATAACTTAGCACACTGGCTTCTTCCTCTATAAAATGAATGTAACCCATTCATTTTAGGGAGGATGAATTAGGGATCTCAGTCATGTAAAGTACTTAGAATACAGCTAACTTCCTGACAATCTGCCATTTTCTAATCACACTATCAATGTTTCAACTGTGCTAAGGAGCTGAATGGCAATCAAACAGCACTCAGGTGAACCTTTCTTTTAAGCACAAACATGCTCTGAATCCTGAGTCTTCTTGCACATTCCCTCTCAACAACTCCATCATTAAACCCACCATCTTCCTTTCTAGATTGTTTCTCCTCTCTAATCAACCTCAGGCAGTAGCATTATCATTTATCTGCTCCCCTACCCTAGCAATCACGTCCACAAGAGCTAGCCTTTTCCTTCCTAGGTAACATCTACTCTTTTTTCAAAGATAGCTCTGGCATCATCTTCTGTGGGATGCTTTCTCAGAAGATTATATGTGTTTATTTAATTCTATTGTTGTTGTACTAGGGAAATCCAGGGTACCAGGCATGTTAGGCAAGTACTCTACCACTGAAAGATAACCCAAGCTCTCCAGGTCTCAGTTGACTGGGTTGGCTGAAAACTTGAGATCTTTTATTTCACTTGAGTAGACATAGACTGCAGCTGTGATTTTCCATAAGCATCCTTTGGCCTACCTATCCACTCTCATGGTTTGCCATGCCTTTAAGCTATATTGATGCCTCATGAACAAACATTTCCTCCATGAGCAATCTTCCCTGTGCTATCAGAAAATCAGCCACATACTCTGCTACTATTGTCTCTTGCTTGTATTTCTTTTTTGAGGACTTGTATTCTAGGTTGCCTTTTGTGTGTGTGTGTTGCCCTCACTTTCCCAACTGATAAACTTGGAGATTGAAAATAAATGTCATTTCCTCTTTAAGCCCCCTTCTCTTCAATGCTTATGCAACACATACCAAGCATATAGTATATACTCAGCACATCTAATGCAAGAAAAGAAATGCAGTGACAAGCATAACTTCCTTTAGAAAAACAACAAAATGTAAATCAACAGCTATAATTTCCCATGCAGGAGAAAGGCTAGAAAATTGTTCCAGGTAAGAAAACTGGAAGGTAAGTGTACAGCTCAGTGGCAGAATGCTTGTTTAGTATTCACAAGGTCCTAGGTTCAATTCCCAGCACTGAAAAAAAAAAAAAAAAAAAAAAAAAAAGGTGGGAGGTGGATGAGTGTTAGTAACACAAATTCATTACCTACCAGTTTTCAGATTAAAAACACTGCCTATAAATTCCAAACCTTGTTGATAAACATCTTTCAATTAGTAAATAATGTAGTAAGCACCTATATTATACAAAGGCTTCCATCAAACAACCACTGTGGGGATATGAAAAGTGAACATAACTTGTGCTGCACTGGAACTCACATTTGATGTCACAAAAAAGGTGGCAAGAGGAGGCGAGAGCATAGGTCAAAGGGCAGGAGTGGGAGTGGAAAACAGGACTCTGCCTCAGCTGGCCTGACGGAATAGACTCTTTTTAAAAATGTATTCTCTCTCTCTCTCTCTCTCTCTCTCTCTCTCTCTCTCTCTCTCTCTCTCTCTCTCTCTCTCTCTCTCTGTCGTGCGTGTGCGTGTGTGCCCATGGAGACCAGAAGAAACCATTGATCCTCTGGAACTGGAGTTATAGGAGGTTGTGAGCTACCATATGGGTGCCAGAAACCAAACCCTGGTCTCTCAGAAAGCAGCAAGTGCTGTTAACTGCTGAGCTATCTCTCTAGTCATTTAAAGTGTGTGTGGTGTGTATTCAGAGGACAACGTGAACGAGTTATCTCCTTCCTTCTTCCACGTAGGTCCTAGAGACTGAACTCAGGTTAGCAGGCTTGAACCAGTCCATCTGTACCAGATTCAGGCTGTTTTAAGCTAGTATTGCTGAAGGGGTAAGACTGGGCAGCCAGAGGAAATGTTGCAAGTGGGATCATAAAATGCTTTGCTTTTCCGGATTCCAGGTTAAACCCGAGTTCCTGTAATAGCTTTACCATCTCTAATATTTTTCACCCCACAGCATGAGTCCTGGTCTTCAATCATTCACATCACAGGTGCTCTCTGAGCACCTACATGTAAGGGAACCACACGAGATACTGACAATACACATATGTAGTGATGAAACTACACAAGTGCTCTGCTAGAACTTACAGCCTAATAGTAAGGTAAAACCCTCCCTTCCAATTCTGACATTCGGGCATGGCAGAGTACACTAGGGTAGAACAGTATGAGCACCGATCCAAACTCAGAATATCCAAGTTCAAAAGCCATTACACAATGACTCACATTGGGCAAGTTTTGGCTCAATCTCTCTGCACCTCACTTTCCTGTCAAGTAGGAACGTTGGTATGTATATGCAATGATTTAGGAGTGACGGGACGCTGTGTGCAGCGAGTAGCTGCCATTCGGCTGTGTCCACACTCACCGCTTGCTCATTCCTCATCCCGATGTACCTGATGCCCAGTTCCTGTGCAGCAAGGGCGATTTCGGTAACGGGGATGCCTACGACGCCGAACATATACTCCACATTCTGGGGATAGGGGGTGGGAAAAGAGAGGAATAAACGCCAGTCACCAGGCAGGTGACCCAGTCTTCTCGTCCTTCTCTGAGATCCAAAGCAAGGGCCAACACCGACGGACGCCCGCCCGCCCGCCTGCCTCCATGACAACGCGTGGTCCCCCGCCCGCTTCCTCCGAGCCTTGAGCTCCCTAGCGATCCATCGTACTTGCGTTTTCAGGGCCTGGGCGATGACTCTAGCACCAGACACCTGCTCCTCGCTATTGCCGCTACCCTCTGCAGAGTCACTTCTTGGCATCTTGCACCTAAAGTTACTTCAAGGCACTCTCGCGGCCCACGGCCTCCCTAGCCAAGCAAGCTTCAGAGTCAACGGCGTGCTGTAGGTGACACCGGCTGACGCACGGGAGGGCAGCCTACCGATTTCAGCAAAGGGGGGAAGGGGCGGGGCTGGGAGGAGTCAGTTCTCCGTGAGGCGATGATGCAAGCACGCCCACTCTCCAGTGACTTGTCCCGGTCCCGCCATCGGCTGAGGCGGCATGAGCCGGAGACCGCGGCCTATGCCGAGCAGGTAGGAAACCCAGCCTCTGAGGTGGCTCGCCATAGTTTCGGGCTCCACTCGGCCCCGCGTAGGTTCAGTCCCGCGTAGGCTAGTGGCACATGCGCACTTCCAGGGTAAAGGCAGATGGGGACCTTGTGGGAGGGGGCGTGGCCCATACGCGCATCCCCGTCCCCCGCCGGGGATTCCCCTGGTGGGGCGAGCCGCGCTAAGGCTGCTGGGATGCTGGTAGCTTGGGAAAGGGTTAAAGTTGAGGGAAAGGTCCTGTGGGTCGTGTTGCCATGCTTCCGTGCCCTCTGGTTTCATAACTTTGTGGTTTTGCACTCCATAGAACATGCACGTTACTTAAGTCTGTGAGCAAAGGTCTACTCTTTATCATAGATATCTTCAAGCTTGCTTGTCGCGAGATAAACTTGTCCAGAGCATTATTCACACCGCAGTGGCCCCTGCCCTCTGCTCTGGTTTGTATTTATGTTTGTTCCAGTTGAGTATCACTAAGGTCTGTTAGAGCCATACGTTAATAATTAAATGTATGATTGCGTAACTTATTACCAAAGTAATTATGTTGGTTGCTTTCTAGTTACCGGTTCGATGCTAAGCCTACTTGACACTGGCAGCACATGCTGTATAGACAATAACCAATTTGTAACACCTTGTGTGGATTTCTTTCTTAAAATAATCCTTGCCAGAACTCTGTGTGTGTGTGTGTGTGTGTGTGTGTGTGTTTAAAGGATCAGTCTTAACTGGCCATATTTTGCCATTTAGCAAAGAGAAAAGTCATTGAGCTGGTTCTTCGCCTTGCAGTTCACAGTATAGTATTTCATGCTTCTCATGCCTGTAGTGATTCGGCATAGGTGATGTGAATGCGTATCAAAAGGCCTTTAAATCCCAGTGGGGAAGTGGAGACAGGTGGATATCTGAGTTTGAAGCCAGCTAGTTTACCTAGCCCTGTCTCAAAAAAAAAAAAAAAAAAAAAAAAAAAAAAAAACAGGAAGAGGAAGGGAGGAAGAAAAGAAGGAAAGAAAAGACTTGGCATTGTTTTTACATTCACTTATTACTCAAAGGAAGAATACATCTTTTTTTTTTTTTTTAAAGTGCTAGTGGTTGAACATAAGACCTTGTGCATACCAGGCAAGTACTCTACCACTGAACTATATTCCCAGCCCTAAAATTTAACTTTCTTTAAAAAAACAGAAGGCTAGGGGGTTGGAGAGATGGCTCAGTGGTTAAGAGTAGTGGCTGATCCTCCAGGTAACCTGAGTTTGATTTCCAACACCCTCATGGTGTCTCACAACCATCTATAATTCTAGTTTCAGGGAAACCTATGCCCTCTCCTGACCTCTGAGGGCACCAGGCACACACATAGTGCACAGACATGCATGCAGGCAAAATACCCATACACATGAAATAAAATAATAATAAAAGGCAAGGCTGTGTTGACAAAGCTTTCCAAAGGTCAGATTCAATCATCAGATCTAAATAGTGATTACTATAGGAGTCTAGATCTGAGATTATGAGGAGCGGCTTGACAACTTTCTTCCAAGTGGGTGAAGATAATGTCTAAGTAACCATGTGATTTAGTAAGGGCTTGTGAGCAGGGTGTGGTAAGGCATGTCTATAATACCTGTACTCAGGGGTTAAGGCAGGAGGATCACAAGCTAAAGGCCAGCCTGGGCTACAGAGTGACCCTCACTCAAAAGTAAATGATTGAAAAAAAAAGTTGTAATATTATGCTCAGAGAAGATTAGCTTTCAGAAGAAGGTATCTTCTATAGGCAATGGTTCCATGGCTCCCGGATTGTGATTTTTGTCTCTTTCAGTTCACAAGAACATTAGGAATCCTTATGCTTATTTTTAAGCACAACCCTATCTGAACCTGTAAAAAATAGACCATGCTTTACCAAAATGTAGTGCTCAGTTGTTAAACAAAGAGTGAGTCAGGGTTATTTGTTATTCTAACTTTATTTTGTTGTGACAGACACCATGCCGAAAAGCATGTTCAGGGAGGAAAAGGTTTATTTTATCTTACACTTCCAAGTCCATCTGTGAAGAAGGTTGTCAGGTTAGGAACTCAAGGCAGGAACCATGGAAGAATCTACTTGCTGGCTCACTCTTTGGCTTACTCCCAGCCTGGTACTTAACTAGCTTTATCATACAGCCTGGGACTGCCTGTCTCGTGAGCTAGGCCCTCCTGCACTGATTAATATTCATCTCGATTCATCCCTCAGGATGTAACCAGAGAACCACAGTTACTTTATAGAGACTAATTTTTCAGGTAATTCTAGGCTGTTTAAAGTTGACAATCAATGCTAATAGGAAATTTGTGACATATTGTAGAATGGCTAAAAATTAAACTGGCTGACCTAGGAGAAAATGGAAACAGTATGTATCTTCTTTTCTGGTATAGGGATTAATCGCAGGGCCTTGTGAATGCTTGGCAGCTACTACACCTGTTGGGACTGGGAGCAAATACTGAAGTCAAGGTCACCAAAGTTAGATGAGCAGAAGCAACTTTATTCCATCACCGCTGTGACCCAGAACAGGAGGAGTGGGGGGGGGGTCAGGGGTGATATAGGAAAAATAATTTTTATAATTTGCAGTTAAGTCCTGGGTGACAGGACATTCTGGAAATTTACAACTTGTGATAACATTTATAATTAGTAGTACAATTTGTGATAACAGGGTATTTGTACAAGATCAAAAGTGGGTTTATAGAGGCTTGTTTACACAAGTCTGTGGCTATCTTAACAAAGCTGGGGGCCTACCTTAATTTTTAACCAACTGCTCTTCCTGTGACTGAGAATATAGGACAAGGGTCAAGCCATAGAAGCAGCTTGGTAGGTGGGCTAATGTTCAGTCTTACTCTGGGCCCTTCATAATACTAAGCCCAGCTTTTACTCTTTTATGTTAATAACAGGTTTTACTAAGTTGTCCAGGTAGACCTTGAACTTTGGGTCTTCTTGGCTCAGCCTTCTGAGTAGCTGAGAGTACAAAGGTATGCCACCTCCAAGTAAAAGTCCAGGAACAAAAATAAGAAGGAAATCTATATAAATAACTATTTTTAAAAGCAACCCTTAAACTATACAGTAGGAAATGTGCTGTAGGAAACATTGTCAATAAAGACAGAGCAAGCATAAAATAATGTAATAAAATGGTTGATCAAGTGAAACATGTTAAGTTGATTTTGTTTACTTCTCTTTAAATTATGACCTGTGTAGTAGCAAAGTTTAGAGATGGGCTTGAAGAAACAAACAAAACAAAACAATGGAAAACAATTTTATATTCTCAAGCTATCAAGGACAGCTCAATAATAAATCAGTAATAAAAGCTGCTGGTCCCTGTCTTGTTGAAAGGCACTGAAGACATTTCCCTGGTACCCCTGACCTAGAGAAAGCTGATCCCTCCCAAGGCCTGGACTATGCTCAGCAGTGTATTGCAGCCTCAACTTAGAACTGAAGTAGGGAACAGTATGGAAAGAAAACAGAACGAGTGATTTTCCTGTTTTACCCATTATGGATTTGTTTTTCTTTTTCTTTTTAAAGTAAATTTGAAAGAGTTTAGCATTAGAAATAACCACCACAATGATATGAGTGCTATGAAGGCATAATGGCTTAGCAACACTGTGTTTCTCCTTGAAATAAAACTGCAAAGTTCCCAGGGTGTGGGGTTGAACTAGGGACACTTTCGTAGTGAAAGACTTAATTAAACCCTTTACCTGGTTTCTTCATCATAACCTTTGAGCTCCTTCTTGGGGCTTATCAACAACTTATTGTTTTCTTATAGTTAATATTTGTGACGTCTTTCAGACACATGAAAGGCTCAGAAGTCACTACATACCCATAAGCCAGCTCCTGTTCTAGCCCAGTAAACAGACACAGTGAGCCTCCTGTGTGGCCCTCCCTGGCTGCATCTCTTTTCCCGCTCTGTAGAGGGAGCCGTTACTTTGAACTTAATATCTGTAGTACCTTATTATCCATTTTAAAGTGTCTTAATCTATTTTCTGTTGTTGTATAAGTGCTCACGAGACTAGGCGTTATCTATTTGTTCTGTGGCACTGGGGAGACAATTGTTGTACCTCCTTCCCTGGCTTTCCCCCTGCTTTTTATTTTCAGTCAGGGTCTATGAGTTGCCTAGCCTGGCCTTGAACTCACACTGTAGCCCAGGCAGGCCTTGAACTGGTGAACCTTTTGCTTTAGCTTCCCAAGCAGCTAAGGTTTATGGAGTCTATTTTACAAGTCCTGGCCACTGCTCAGTACTTAGACATTTATTTTTGTTCACTGTTCTAGCAGCTCAGAAGTCTGGGAGTACATGGCTACATCTGGTTTTGGTGAGGACCTCAAAGTAGAAAGACAAGCAGATATATGAGAAAGAGAGAAAAAGAAGGCCAAACTAGAGACGACCAACTCATTCCTAAATAATTCATGAGGTTAAATAACGGAGACACCTCCCATTAGATCCCACCTTCCAGCATAGCTATGTTGAGGTAAAAATAACATTTAGGAGACCACGGCCAAACAGTAGCAAACATTTAGGTTATTTAGTTTCTTGGGGTATGACTAGTATACTCTGTGAAGATTTTTGTATGTTTTACCTCCATGTGAGAGTTTCTGTGTGTCATACTGGTGTGAGGATATTACCAGTTTGACAGATTGTTCTCCAAAGTCACTGTAAGAAGTTACATTCATCATTGTGTGAGAACTGCCCTTTTTCTCCATCAATTGGAAACTTACTGTTTCTGTTTTTGCCGGTCTAGCCTCACATGGTAGTGCACATCTAATTCTAACACTTAGGAGACAGAGCAGAAGGATGAGTTCAAGTCCATCTTCAGCTACATCATGAGTTCAGGGTCAGCCTGAGCTACATGGTATTCCGTCTCAAAAAAAAAAAAAAGTAAATAAATAAAAAAATGAGTAAATAAAGCTAAAGACATGACTGTTGAGGAAGGCTAGTTAGGAAGAAGACCAATAGCAGGGAACAAAGAAGGGTAATGATGGAGAATATGATTGAAATGCA